TCTTCCATTCCTCTTTGTTTCTAAGTATGACCCCCCATCCCCATGGAGCTCCTCTCCCATTGCTCTGGATGGAGGGGACTTTATTTAGATCACAGGAATCTTAACAAGTGTTTTGATCTAGAAGATCTGCAGGAGACCAAGTTACTTCAGAATCCATTACAACTTTAGCGTCCAGAGCTTTGGCCTTTTAAAGTGCTTTTGTCAATGCATAGATCTATAGGAATATAGATATAGTGTAGATATAGAGAGGGGGAAGAAATGTTAATATTGGTGAATTATAGTATTTTTCGGAAAATATACATACGGGAGTGAAGTTTCCCTTCCATGCGTTGAACTCTAAATGGGCTGGACCTTGGATGTCGTTGATGGCTCTGATACACTGAAATTCAACAATATTTCCCTCTTCTGTGTGTACTGAAAGCTGTTGTGTCCCCCTCAGCCTGATCTTGTGTTGACTCAAATCTTCTCCACTTGTTATACAAGGAGCTCCAGGAAGACACAGACCAGGTGGCATATAGAAAACTTTACAGTAAAGAATTCATTTGATAAAGAGATTAAAGTTTAAGTAAAATTTCTATGTTGCAATAGGATATAAAAGAGAAGCGATCAGAGTAAATAGGTTTTTCTCTCTCTTTCTCCCTCATTTCCCTTTGGTCTCTCAGCTGTTATTGTCATGAACATGAAAGCACCTTAGATCCACAACTTCTTTTAAGACAAGACAATGTTGCATGTCTTGTAAAAGGCAGAAGGAAAACATTTTAGTCCCCTTCTTCCAAATTGCCTCATACTGAAGGTCTGAATTAGAAAACCAAGCTCGGCCAACTTTTCTTAAAATGCCCCTTCAGGTCTTCTCTTTCAACATGGACTAATCAGGGAAGATGTGAGTGAGAAGAAAGAGAACAGAATCTATCACCCATACCTAAAATGCCTATTTGAAAAACAAGATGATCTTTATATGCTATAATGAATGGACGGAGGTTTGCATTGGTGGGGAACATAAATGTAAACGTATTTTTATTTACAAGTGAAGTCATATTGTTTGCTGAGAATGGAAATGATTAGCAAGGAAAAAAGAAGCAAGTAGAAGGATGACTTTATGTGTGAAAATGAATGGAGAAGTTAAAATAAATAATATATTTGAAGTAACAGTATATTTTAACATGACAACCAGTTTTGTGTTACACAATATCCTAGGACCAAGAAAGAGAGTCTCTGTCAACGTTCCAAACAGCATCCAAAATTAAATCAGAGTCCAAGGCAAAATNCCTATGAAGCGGTATATAAGTCCACTGCTATTGCTATTGCTATTGCTATTCACAAGTTTCTATAATCCTTACAATCATCTAAGAAACTGGGACCAAAATTCATTGGCCCATTCCCCATCACTAGAATCATTAACCCCATCACGGTAGAACTCCTCCTTCCTAACATACTTAGGCAGGATCATCCAGTGTTTCACTGCAGTCTACTCAAACCAGAAATCACTTCAAAGGTCACACCCCCTTTGCCCAAACCCCCAACCCCCATTATGGTGGATGAAGGACAACACTTTGAAATTAAAGATATCTTTGACTCCCGCACTCACCATGGCTCCACACAATATTTAGTGGTATGGAAACACCTACCATTCTCTCAGAATGAATGGATAGCCAAAAAAACATGTAAAAGCTCCCACAATGTTAAGGCAATTCCACATGAGATACCCTCACAAACCATCCTAAATCTCAATGTAGTATATGTTTTATGTCTTTCCAGATGGATTTTCCATTTTTCTGTGGAAGGCAATATGTCAGATCCGTGTATCTGCCTTTCTTTGGTGGAATAAGGAGGGGTTGGATTTGATACATTCTGTTCTTTCTCCTTTTTATGTATCCTAGGTATCCTATTTCTTGACTTGTTTTTTTGTATAACCTTTCGCTTGATTTATAACCGTTGTGTGGCGCCTCAGATGTCTGGAAAATCCTCACCTCTTGGGGAATGCAGGGAGGGAGGACAGTTCTGTGGATTGCAACTCCCGATGATCCTGAGAACCTCTTCTTATCTGTTTCCCAGAGAGGCTGGTACAAAACCATTTTCACACCCACAGATTCGTGGGAATCCACATTGGACTGTTAAGAGGGGTTCCTAATTTCCTTTATCATGGATTGTATAGCCTGAAGGTCCCAGAATGTTGACTTGCTTTCACCCCTCTTCAATAAAAAGATTCCTTTTGAAATACCAAGTTTTCAAGAGTCTACACTTTCTTGAGGGGCGGGGGGCAAGGCAGGTCCTTACACACTCATTTGTCTTCATCCTATTAGTTGTGCCTGCATTATATTGAATTCCAATTCCACTATATACTCCACTGTTCAGGTCACATTTGGAATATTGCATCCAGTCTGGTCACCAAAAAACAAAACAAATGTAGAAGTCCTAAAAAGAATATAGAGAAGGGTAACAAAGATTGTAAGAGATCTAAATCCCTTGAAGAATGGGTAAAGGAATTAAGTATGTTTAGTTAACAAATGAAGAAAAAACTGAGGGAAGAAATGATAGCAGTTTCCAGTTCATGAAGTGGTGCCACATGGAAGAGGCATCAATTTTATAGGATAGGTATGTTTAGCTTAATGAATAAAGAGAAGACTGAAGCAATGGATAGAGACTCCTTGGGGAAGATCTAACCTGGAAATAAGGAATTTCCTGATAATGAGAACTATTAAGCAGTGGAACAGCTTTCCTCACAGAATTGTGAATGTGAATGCTCCATTGCTGAAGAAAAGATTGGACAACCATTTGTACAAACTGGTGTATGGAACCCTGCCTTGCCATTATCTGGATTGGATTTTGACTGTCCTAAATAAGCTGGATTCCTTGTTATTGTGCTTACCAAATCTATTTTGCTAAACCAAGATCAACCTCTTTACCCTGTCCAAATATGTTTTTTATTAAAGATTTTAATTACAGTAGTAAAATCTAATACAAACAATACAAAGAATGAAAAATAGAAAAAAAGAGGAAAAGGTGCAAAAAAATAGAAGAAAAAAGAACTACAAAAAGAAAAATATAATTGAAAGAAAAGAAATATATCAAGAAGTGTCTTCCAATCTTCATTTCAATTATAAACAATTTTTGTTTCATCCCCTCTTAGTTTATAACCAATGATCTCTGCATCCCATCCCTCATCTCTTATCTATAGCCAAGTCCGTAAAGCATCAACTTTTCAGCCAAAAAGCTGAAGACACCAGCCAAAATTTCATAAAAGGTTGTCAGTTTTGTAACAGCATATCTTATTTTAACCTTGATCAAATAAACCAACTTTAGATTTATTCCTACTATCAGTCTTAGTCCATTCAAATAATTTCATAGAACTTGATATCATTTCTTCTTTCTTCTCACAGGTTTCTTCAAAGCCTCTGATATAAAAGAATTATCCTGATCACTCTTCTTCATTACTTTTATTCCCCTTTGATTTTTAAAATAACCAGTTTCATTTGTATGTTCAGTTAGACATTATTTTCCATATCATTCTCATAACCTATAATTTTAGATCCATTTTCAATGCCGTCTCAATCTTCTCAAGTAAAAGTTATTCATCTGCCATTTCTTCCATGACATATTTTAGACACACTGCATCTGTGAAGCAAACATTGCTTTTGACATTGTTGATACTAACTTATTCCATTTTTCAAAAGTATCCTTCAGTATGTTCAAAGTGAAAATGTTTATACCATTCTATATGTTCCAATTAATTTGCTATTGATTAGGCTTGTGTATTTTTCTCCTTTAACTTTAATTCTCAATTCCCTCTAGTGTTCAATTTTTTAAATTTCTTATCTTTATATTTTGTCTTATCAAAGTCCAAAATATCTACTTTGCATGGGAAATATTTATAATTAATTCCAAAATCCTATTCCAAGTTGATCTGGATCCTTGATCCATATATAATTTTCCCAGAACAAATTCTTATTTAGGTTTTTGTGTTTATTTTTGTTTTAAAAAAATCTTATATGATTCAAATGTTCTTTCATTATGGATTGAGGGAAAAGTCACCCTATGTTTTCAGACTTGTTGGTCCTAAGATCTCTAATAGTTGAAAAGTAGTTAGCAAGCAATTTCCAAATGTGATTTAGAAAAGAAAGTTTGTGAAGTTAGTATCCTTTGAAAGATGCTGACTATGGTTGTGAGAAGGTCAGCTATTTCTGCTGTGTCTCAGTGCTGAAAATCCACCATGGACTGCTCTTCTGTGATCTCACAAAAAACATCTCTTCAAAACACATTCTCCCATCCTCTCCTTTTCTGCAAAGGTTTTGAAGAGATGGTCTCTTTGTTCATGATGGTAATTAATTGCTTTTCACAGAGCTGTCTGCCATTTTCTACCAAATCCAACTTTCTTATCTCCCCTTTCAATTTCATTAGAAATTATGATCTTGCTGACATTGCTGTCTGGATCATTGAAGTTACTGAACCCACTTTGCAACCACATTTCTTACAGCTGAGGGATTCCTATTAATTTTTGTGGTCAAAATTGACCTATGCATGCAAAGAGTATCTTTTTCCCCATTTGTTGAGAAGATTTATTATAGATGGAGGAGGTTAACTTTTCATGGTGTTTAGAAACAGAGTGGAAGGTAAGGGTGAAGATGAATAAAATTTCTCTTCTAAATTTTCTGATCTTATTCTTAATACCTTGATGGTCACAGCAAGTGACAGCATCTAGCAAATCTTGAAAAAAATTAGGCAACATCAGAACTCGAGTTCTCAGTCCTCTTCGTTGTTTGCTTGCAGGCATGTCAACCCTATGATGTTGCTTAGTTGGGTAGTGAAATGTAATGAAATGTCTACAAGCAAGGAGCACCAAGATTTTTTATTAACCCTGAATTACAGACATTCCTTTCTATTGGGAGGTCAGAACTGGTTAATAATTGGCTGGGAGACCACCAGAAGATTAGGTTGGAAAATTAAAAAAAATAGAAAAACCACTTCCTTATTTGGAAAAAAAAATCCTTTTTTTAATCTCCTAGGTTGCCAGACAGTTACAGCCTTCAGTTATATGGATTGGAGATACAGAAAAAACATTCTACAAAAAGGTACCTAAAACTGAAAAAGAGGTAAATACTTTTTTATATATGGTACAAGCAAACAAGCAGCATAGCACATTAATTGCTAATTTTTCATTCATTTACTTATTTATTTGTTTATGGTTTTAGAACACACATTAATTAGTCATAAATCTATTGCATGGTAATTATATAATAATAAATGCAAACCAGATTATTTTTATAATTAAAATATATATCCTTGTTGAAGAAATGTAAGTGATTTTTGATTAACACAGAATTTTTCACTAGGCACAATAGAAACAGGACCAGATCAGTTTTAACAACAAGTAAGGTGTCAAAGCAATTTTAAATTGTCACATGTTTAAAGACAACTAATTATAATTACTGAAAAAGCTGGGCATTATTAATTTTGTGACATTGTGTGACGATCAGATTTTAAAATTAATCATTGAATCACAATGAGTTTTAACAATAAATTTAAACTAGATGATTCATATATTTGTAAAAATATGTGAGTTCCCTATTATGCAACCATGTTTTTATTATTTCTTAATTCTCTTAATCTATTTTTAATTCATATTTTTGATAAACTGCCAGTCAGTAGTAAAAAAGCAGTCTTGATCCAAAGTGTTACCATTTGCTCTAAATTTAAGAAATTATTTTAAAAACAGTTCCAAGGTTTAACACCTAAAAGAATCATATTTTGAAAAATGACAGAAATATTTAAATTGGCTATGATGGTATTGCTGCCCTCTGCTGGCTAAAATGTTTGCCACAAAGTTCCTTGTTAAGTTTCTTCACATTCTGTGTGTTTTTGTAGCAATATATATATATACATATATACATACATACATACATACACACACACACACACACACACACACACACACACACACAAACATATATATATATATATATATATATACATATACATACATACATACATACACATACACACACACATAAATGCATTTTTGCCTCTGGCACTGCATCTTCCTGTAAAAGAACATCCATCCTTTTCTGAAGTCGTTGATCCTCAAAATGTTTATAATATGAACCTGTCAATCCATCCTATAATATGCACATCATGTGTGTATATTATTAATTATATTCCTTAACTTGATTTAAACAAATGACATTGATTCAAAAGTTAATGTGTGTGAAATCTACCACTGCATATTTCCTTTGTTACTGTGAAATCAAGTAGGTTTGTCTTGCAATGGATAGTTCCAAATAAAAATCCTATATATCACCCTTGTCAAATTTAAGACTGCATATATTTGTGTTTGTTCTGGAAGATGGAACCTAAACGTTTGAAAAAACAACTTCCCAAAATTTTGAAAACTCTAAAAATTGAAGATCGAATTTTAATCATTGGAACCAGTAACCGGCCATTTGATGCAGAGATCAAATCCTTCTGCAAAGTTTATAAGAAAATAATTTTGGTGCCGCGGCCAGACTATGCTTCAAGATTTGGCAAGTATATGAAAATAGAACTAGTTTATGCAAAGATATCTCAAAATTTAAAAAGTATTTATGCTACTCGAAAATTCATTACTGAATCTTAGAAACATACACACACACGTATATACCTATGTATATAACAATAATAGCATTATTTAGATATATATAATAATAGTCTTTCAGCTTATACATTGTAGTTATAATGTATTATATTTTGTAGCAGTATACATAATAGTATTTTCCCAATTTCTACTTTCTGTCTCTTAATTCCAACCCTTAATACTGTGATGGTGAACTTCTGGCACGTGTGCCAGAGTTGGCACACAGCACCCTCTCGGTGGGCACACAAGCTGTCACCCCAGTTCAGCTCCTCCATCAGGGATGTGCAGTTAGGGGAGGCAGAGCCTCACCACTGTCATCATGAAAAGAAAAAAATATATAAAAGGAAAAAGGCAAGAGCTGAGGTCAGGCTGAGATAGTTGCTGCCAGAATCACCATGGATGACTCTGCTTAGTGCTTAATTGTTTAAAAAAGCCTCTAAAATTGCCCTCTACAGGAGGTGGCAGGAGAATGAGGTGCCTCATCTAGTCTGACTTTATGATCACTCGAGCAGAGCTAAGCAAGGATTAAAAGGCGAAAAATTCCTGATGTAGATGAGGCACATCGTTCTCCTGCCTCCTGTAGAGGTTGTTTTTTTAGAGGCTTTTTAGAGGCTCTGGCAGCAACTAGCTCAGCCTGACCTCAGCTCATGCCTTTTTCCTTTTACATTTTTTTCTTTTCATTATGGTAGGCAAGAGCAGAGTTGAAATCCTCTCTGAAATAGCTGGAAAAGGTACGTGTGTGGGTCGGAGGGAGGGGGAGGAATTCAAAAAGTTTGATTGCATGCAGAGCCACGTTGCCTTTTCAAACACACACACACACAGCTGGATAAAAGTATATAAGCCCAGCTTCACTGGTTACAAGTTTGAAAAGGCAACGTGGCTCCACCTGCAATCAAAGGCTCAGATCGGAAGGCAGCAGGGGAATGGGGGGGGGTATGGCAGAGGAGCTGCTTACAAGCCATTGGAAAATATATCCAATCGAACTTCTGTGTTTGTGTTTGCTTGAGAGTGAGTGAGAGAGGAATCCAACTTCTCTGTGTGTGTGCGTGTGTCTGTTTGAGAGAGGGGAGAGGAGAGAGAGAGGGAGGAAGGAGGGGGAGGGAGAAGAAAAAGAATGAAGGAAAACTTTTTCGCAAAGGAGAAAAACAAATGCTGTCGCTTTAAATCAGAACTGAGCATGCCTGGCTGTGGAATTCTGGGAGTTGAAGTCCACAAGTCTACTAAAATTTGAAACCCCTGTGTCAGTGCCTCACCAGCTATAAACCTCACTGCATGTCACTGTCCTCCATACATGTATGTGTGCCTCCCGCTGGCCAGCTGGTCTTCAAGTCTCTGTCGTGCATGCGGGAGAGCAAGGTGCATGCGGGGGAGTGGGGTGCATGCATGTGCAGTGGGGAACGAATGTGTGGGGGGACTGCATGCACAGGGAGTGGATGCATGTGGGGAACAACCTTTCTTGTATCCCTGTACATCACTCATGTTTAATCTAAATCTCTGCCTCTACATCTACATCTGTTGTCTGTGTCAACTCATAAAGCATTTCCATGTCTGTTATCAAGTTGGCATGGTAAGGAAAGAGGGGAGTGCATTCCATGCATACCTTTGGCTAGAGTCAGATCTTAGATTACCACAGCAGGCTTGTGAGGCATGGAATTCTATAGCCTGCTGGAGCACCTTGTTGGATAATGTGATTTATAACACAGATTGAGGGGAGGAGGAAACAGGAGCAAAGTTCAGCTGTAACTTACTTGAGGTCAGATCTGACTCCAATGGGGTATTGCCGAAATGTTGTTCCTAATAAATGACTGGATTTTCAAACTTGGCTCGAGGCTCATGAATTAATTAGAGCATCTTTAGGAAACCTGACAGAGAGTCAGATCTGCTTTTAAAATCTATCAAGATAACTAGGTCTCCTGAATCCTGGACTCTCCAATTGCTCTCTGATATCTGGAGTGCCTGGAGGGAAACTCAGGCAACCATGGCAGAGAACGGGCTATCCAAAGAGAGCCTGATTGCAGCTGGAGTGCAGCCTAACCTCAGACATCAAAGCTTAGATGCCTGTTCCAGCGACCGAAGCAAGAAGAGATGAGTATTTGTGGAAGTTAACCCCTAAAGAAGCTGAGGTTGAGCTCCCCCACCCAATGCCCAGAAAAAGGGAAGGGCCATGAGTGAGCTGGGAAGAGTGGACTGGATGCTAGGCTGGAAACAAGCCTGGCTCCCAAAGCCCCTGATGGAGCCCCTCGGGAGTTCCATAGAGCAGAGCAGGGAGGAATTTGACCAGGCCACACTCCGTGAAGAGGGGCCATTATGCAGGCCAAAAGAGAGGAGAGGAGCAGTGGATCCTTTTGAAGTGAGGAGAAGCAGACAGGAACGCAGCCCCCCTTTTCCACCCATCAGAAGGAGGCTGCAACCAGGGCTTCTTCCATGCAGCAGACAGGGTAGACAACCCCCTTTCTCCCTCTGAACTAGAGCTGAGGAAGATGGCCAGCCATATCAAGTGCAAGCATACAGAGGCTGATGAAAGGAGGGAGGAGCAGTACTGAACAAACCGCCCCAATTCAGGGGAAAGTTTGATGGGGACTCAGACCAGTTAGCCCTATTCCTTGACTCAGCTGAAACCCACCTAGAATGCTATGGACACCTCTACCCATCCCCCAGAGCCATGATGAATACCATCTCAGAGGGGCTAGAAGAAGAAGCAAGGGAATGGCTACCAACCCTCCACAAGAGGAGAGCCCCCCCCTCCCCCCAACTGCAAGGCATAGATGACTTCCTACAACTCCTAGAGGCCAGATTTTTTTTTGAATTTTTTTAAAATTTTAATTGAACAAAAACACAAAAAAAGAATCATCCTTCATTACATCTTGTAGAAA